GAGCATCTTCTTTTGAATTTAATACCGTAGAGACAGCTGGAAATTAAGAGGGAATTTTAAGTCTTCAAAAAAATATTTTATGTGTCGTTTATTTTTATTTTTAACATCTGCTTCTTTTATTTAAATTTGTACAAATACGTGCTTCTGTACTTCTTAAATTTGACATCCTTTTATTTTGGCGGTATGAGTGATTTTGTGACACTGTAAAATTTGTGAAAAAATGCTATAAACTTGTCCTGTGAACATTTTTTTAATTCATTAAGTACTATTATGATGCCTTTTAAAAGATAATGAAGATTTTTTTCACAATTTTCTTTTTTGCAAGTCACAGCATTTCCTCCTTTCTTCCTCCTTGTCTCTCCTCCTCTTCATCTCCTTCCTCTCTCTTTCTGTGGTAATGAATACTGAATCAGTCAGAGACAGACGGTGCGTGGGGTCTCCCCGGAGGAGGCAGACACACAGAAAAAGAAGAAGAAAAAAAGAAAAACAATGCACAAATCTACACAGACATATGCCACAGTAAGAAAACCTTCTGCTTCATAAGAATGCATGCATCCACAGGAGAACATATACTGAGGTGGATTTGTCGCTTTAACAAATATCAGCTTTTATTTTTCTTAGCAGTAATCAGCAACTGCAATAGCGTTTCAATCAAAAGTGAAGGATTAGAAATCAAGGTTAATGAGCATTTAAAAATGGTTATTTCATTTTAAATCACTTGTTCTTTCCATTCTGCTCTCTTTGTACCGRTTTGCATCACTGTCTCATGACGTTATGCTAAGCAGCTCCTCCTCTGCCTCCTTTTTGATTAACATACTGCTGAGTGCTTTTTATGTGTGGTCTCCCTCAGAGAGCATGAAGGCCCCATGCTGCCAGATTAAAAGTTTACACTTGGRAAAGGAGTGGAGACTGGCATTGCATAACACTTAACATACTGTGAAAACACATGCTCCTTTTTCCAAGGGTAAATACTGTACAACAGATTTCTTCTTTTCTTTTTTTTTGTCTTACCACTGAAACAGACCCTCATGAGTAAATGAGAACAAAAGTAATAGACTGGATGAATTTTTTTTGTTGTTGTTGTTCTTGATGGGATCCTGTGCAATTTGAGGCTCTTTAAAAAATCATTTTATAATCATTTCTAAAGATACGCCCTCGAGGTACGCATCTGAGCGTCTTCAAGTTCAGTCCAAAAATATCAAATGTGGTCAGAGAAAAACAGAAAATCCACCAAAATTAAAAAAGGAACCTCATAAAGGTCATATGTTTTTTATTTTTCAGTTTCACTTTTAATATCCATCCATTCATCTATCTTCACACACTTGTTCCTGTTCCTTGTTCTCAGAGAGCAGGTACCCATTGGGCAAAGGCTACCTTTGCTAACCTTTTACTWCTTTTATCTTCCGTCTACTCCTTTTAGCTTCTGTTTTCCTTTTCACTTGAACAACTTAGGTTCAGGGGGTTGGTTTTTTTTTGMTTTCTGTCTTTTATTCCTTGTGTCAGTTTGGTTCACCTGTCTGAGTGTGCCCCATTTCAGGAGCTGCATCCCACCTAGACCGTGGCCCACGTAGGCCACACCCTAGTCCTAGTCCATGCCAGTCCGGATAGGCTGCATAAAATGCCTTCAACGCAACAGGAGTACCATAAAAGCAGAGTTTTATCAAATTCTTGATGTCAAGCCTGCTTCACAGTATAGGTTTCTGGTTTAATTAGCTAAATAAGGTGAGTAGAATCACTTTATTATATTTGTTTATATGTTTTAGTATGGAAATACAATCACAGCACAACATAGTTCACTACACAAACCACATAGAGAGAAGGCAACTCTGTGGTCAGTAAGTTGTCACTTTGAATCTCCTGACTGGTACAGAAACTATGGGTGAGAAAGGTGCTTCTACATTCATTTGCTGCACTCTGGACCCTTGAGCAAGACCATGTACCCCTCCTCAGCTGCTCCCCGAGGTGCCCTAGATGGCAACCCCTTGCTCCACAAAATGTGGGCTGTGGTAACTGAACACCATGTTACCACAGCCCCAGCCATAACCATCAGAACCTACTGATTTAAAAAAAATATTTACTGTCATTTGGTTTAACGATGGGCATGTCATGTCAACCGTCAACACAAATGATCTGTTGAATCATTCAGGGACATTTTTTATATAGAATGTCACACATTTATGTCAGGCAGCAACTTGATGTTTGACAATAAATGCATCACTCATCTGAAACCCTTTCTACCTGACATACTGACTGAGCAGTTCAGGTCTGCGTGGAATGAAGATGGACATGAAAATGTGAAGACAAAAAAAAACCTGAATAAAGCCTGACTGGACCGAACAAAACATAACAAATAAATCAAAACCTGTTCATTTGATTGGGTTTTGTTGAGCGTGTTCTTCCGAAGAACTAAGGCTGCAGGACCCTTGGTGAAATGAAAATGGGTGATGTACAGTAGGATCACTGCAGCAGCTGCMTCTTGACGATAAGAAGCCCAAGAGACATGCTGGCACATAAACACATTTTATACAGTATGTTTCAAGAGATAAAGTTGTATGCCATGTGTGTGATTTACTCCTACGATTTGACTCCTTTAACTCTCCACTTGGTCATAAAAACCGATGACATCTTCAAGCACTATGTTTGTTCCTTGGAGAAGAGAGGACACAGAAGACGTGGCAGTAAACACAAAAGGACAGCAAAGGCGGACAGGATGTGACAGAGCAATTTTTAGGAGAGTAGGGTAGAGATAGGGATTTACAGGAAGATGAAAAGTGAATGAAAGAATTGAACCAAACCAAGGAAAAAGCAGGATTCAAGGACGGTAAACCAAATTTATGGGATAAAAGCTGGTCTATAAATTAGAGAGAACAAGGCCGAAAGAGATGTCAAGTGAGGAGGCGGATAAAAAAAACTGTTGAATGACAAATGATCTGAGGTAGAGAAGTGAAGAAAAAGTGTTGAAGAAAAAAAATAAATCATCTCAGGCTGCCATGAGTGGCAGATGATAATCCACTTGTGTGTGTGAGTGTGTAAATGAACCTAGAATCTGAGTCTGCAAAGAAGGATTTCAGGTTGGGACCTTTAACTGTGATTTTAAGGAGGGTGGATTGTGCAAAATTAACTTTCTTAAGCTTTATATTAGGTTAAAATGTCACTCCCTCATCAAAAACATACCCAATGTTGCTTTGACTCATTCATGCTTGTTATAGAAATCCTTGAATCTCCTTTGGTAGCCATGTGGAGCTGCTACAAAGCACCACCTATTTGTACAAAGCTCCTCCCTGGAGCTCAGTCTGCAGCCGAGCTCCCGCCCCACAGAGCACCCTTCCCCGAAGCATTGTTGTGAAGATGTGCTGAAGTGGGAGTGTCTGAAACGGTAGGAGGTTTGCGTTAAAATGACCCACAAGGCTTCTGTTTTTGGGGGCCATGTGCTTTTTAAATGCTTCTTTTTCATATTTAAATCCAAAAAACATGTAAAATAGGTTGTTTTCAGGTCCAGGCCTAGCTTGACAAAGACATCTGCAATCTCAAGGGATTAGCCTGGTTAACAATGGTAAAATCAAAAAATATAATAATTATCATGAAGTTGGGGTCTATATAAAGTGGAATGCTTTGGTTTAAATTACTCCTTATTGTAACTCCACAAGCCCCTCTATAATCCCTTTTCTCAGGTGCATGTCAGATCAACTCGTTTTGGTGCTGTCTCTTTAATTGCAAATGAGGCATTTTACACTCGGCCCCCTTCAGGTTTCACTGTCAACAATCYTTGCCTACTCCACCCCTTTTGGCCATTTTTGTAGTTTGATAGCAGAGATATTATATAGCAGTATGGAAACCTTTAATTTACACAAGGATTAAAATGGAAGACTTGTCCATCCAGCCTTACATGTTGGAGCTAGAGTCTGACCCAGAGTGGGTCTAAAATGTGGATTTTGCATATTTCCCCTTTAAGGCCCTTTGGGTCTTTTAGACCAGAGGGCACCAGGAGGGTTAAAGTATCCTTTTAGTTGCATTTTTTCTTCATTCCCCCGTCAGCCCTATTCTTTTTCTCCTTCATTTTCTCCCTGACAGACACGCATACAGACACCAATACAGGTAGGCTTGAATGCCCTCATCTGTCAATAACTGACTCACCCAGATTCTCCAGACTTCATTTGTATGCACGTCTGAAAGTCCAACTTAAATCTCTCTCGTGGTTGAATGTAGTAGAGCCAAGTTGTAAAGATACAACAGTGTTATCTGCTTTGGTCAAGCTTCTGTGGCCATTTGGCACACACACACACACACACACACACACACACAATAGGAGGTTATCATGTCTGACAAAGAATATTATATGTTTTGGTTTGGGCTTGTCGGCTTCCTACAAGAAAAACGAGACACACTGCATCTGCTTCACAAATACAATGGCTTCATTTTTTTTCCCCATTAGGACCCATTTATTGGAAGCAATTACATGGGTCAGGCTGTATTTTAATTAAGAACTAATGAACATTAGGACATGCAGAGTGAGAGAGGCTGTTGTGAGGGGAGATATGAAAATAAATCATTTTAAAAATGACCATAACCAAAAAAAAAAGACAAAAGAAAGAGCTGGTGCATTTAATTTACTTTTGATTTAAAGCTCAACAACTAATCATTTCAGTTTGTCTGAGGTGATAAGGAGATGCACATGCAATACTGAATACGGAAAGAAGAAAAAAACATTTTCCGAAATTCATACTTTTTTAAAACCAATTATTTTATTTATTTATTTATTTATTTATTTATTGCATAACTGGAAAGGTTTTTTATGACAATCTTGCTCTCCCTGTGTGAAAAGCACTTCCTGAGCAATTCAGTTGAGGATAAAAAGACGTAAATTTGGACACAAATTGCATCTATCAACCGCAGAAGATTGGCAAAATGGGAATAGGTGAGAGCTCGGTCGCATTTTGTTGTCACAGAAGGAAATTTTGAACTTAATACAGTGTCATCTTTTTTAATGTGTTTTTGTCCAGGCCAGCTGGGGAAAATAAACGTCTAGAGTGAGTCCTCGGGCCTCCATTCAGCAGGTGGAGTTTGGTAAACCTCTAAAAGGAAGTCTTTGAGTGGCTCAGGACCAAGTGCCAGGTAAATTAACTTGCCTCATAATAAAGAAGCAGAAAGTTTAAACTGCATTCCAACAGGCTTATTTGTATTCACGAACGTCTGTCAGTTCTTGTCCAAAATTTTGTGCCTAGAAATGTTAAGAGGCTTGGCAGTTTGCTTCAGCTTCATTTTCATCACTCCATCAATCTTTTAAAGTGTGTTTTGTTGAAAMTTTATTAACCCTCATTACCTTTCTTTTTAGAATATACCCCATTTTTGGATTTAGGGCTACATCTACTAACATCCTAAATAACGAGTGCTAAGTTGTGTGTACAACCTAAAAAAATCAACATGTTACTACTGGGCATGTTGTGGATGATCAACTAAGATTTCTATGCAAATGATAAAGTAAAAGTGGTTAAAACCACTCTTTTGCTACTGGCTGCAGTGTTGTAAAAAGTTTTGTTTTATTTAATTTTTTTTCATATTAAACATGGCATGGCTTTTATTTGTAATGGGCTCCAAATCAAACCTTAGGTTCTGCAGCGGCTCAAAAATGGCATAACTGAATAGACAATGTTTCTTTACTTARTATTTTTATTTTTGACAGTCCAAGTACCGTTATGTTGACACATGAACAGAACACTCTCTCTCTTTCTGTCTCTCCACTATGTCATTGTACCTGTGCCTCCTTCTTGTCACAATGGCCACAGAACACTTTGCTTGTTTATATTTAGCATAGTTGCAGGGCAGTTACAGATGCTAAAATGGCAACCGAAATCAGTTTCAGCTTTGATAAATCACAGTGCGGTCTTAAAATTTTACAATTGTATATCCTCCTACAGGTCATCTGTGATGCATTCGAGACCAGGGAATACTCAAATTTTTGAGGGTTAACCACACCAGATACATGTTACTGTGTGACTGTTGGAGGTGTGCACTATACAAGTGCTTTTAGTTCTAAATTTACTCAATATTTTAAAGAATCTAAGGTTTGAGAACAAAACTTCAGTACAAAATAGTAAGGATAGTTTCTTCATCTTCAAGGGGTGCTGAGTTCAAGTTTGGAGGTGCAACAGCACCCTCAAAAAAGGGCTAAAACTGCCCCCGGGTGTCCCAATACCAGTTTTTCTCAAGCACTCCAGTACTTTAGTTTGGCCAGAGGTGTCAAAAATATTCACATTCCTTACCTAAGTATAAGTATAGGGTTTAAAACTACCTTTTTTGGAAGTAGAAGTGTCAGCTCAAGCTTTTTACTCAAGTAAAAGTACAAAAGTACTGGCTTTAAAACTACTTAAAAGTATAAAAGTAAAAGTAATGAACACTTAAAAAAGCCATTAAAGATAAAAGCATTGTGGACTTGAAGGAGTTTGACCATTTCCCTAGGGCAGTCTTGTGGGGGGTACTCAGGGAGTATGGGGTGCCAAGCCCTTTCATACAGGCTGTTAGGTCCCTGTACGACCAGTGCCAGAGTTTTGTCCACATTGCCAGTAGTAAGTCGGACTCGTTTCCGGTGAGAGTTGGACTCCACCAAGGTTGCCCTTTGTCACAGATTCTGTTCATTACTTTTATGAACAGAATTTCTAGGCGCAGCCGAGGTGTTGAGGGGATCCTTTGGTGACCTTAGGATCACATCTCTGCTTTTTGCAGATGATGTGGTTCTATTGGCTTCATCAGATCGTGATCTCCAGCTCTCACTGGAGCGGTTCACAACCGAGTGTGAAGCAGTCGGGATGAGGATCGGTGCCTCCAAATCCGAGACCATGGTCTTGAGGTGGAAAAGCGTAGGGTGCCTTCTCCGGGTCGGGGAGGAGGTCCTGCCCCAAGTGGAGGAGTTTAAGTATCTCGGAGTCTTGTTCACAAATGAGGGAAAAATGGAGTGGGAGATCAATGGGCGGATCGGTGCTGCATCTGCAGTGATGCGGGTGCTGTACCGGTCAGCCATGGTGAAGCAAAAGTTGTGCCAGAAGCTCTTGATTTACTGGTCAGTCTACATTCCAACCCTCATCTATGGTCATGAGCTTTGGGTAGTGACCGAAAGAACAAGCAGCCGAAATTAGTTTCTTCGCAGGGTGTTTGGGCTCTCCCTTAGAGATAGGGTGAGAAGCTCGGTCGTCCGGGAGGGACTCAGAGTAGAGCCGCTGCTCCTTCACGTCGAGAGGAGCCAGTTGAGGTGGCTCGGCCATCTGGTTAGGATGCCTCCTGGACGTCTCCCTGGTGAGMTGTTCTGGYRYCYTCCCACTGSGAGGAGARCCKGAGGAAGACCCAGGACACGCTGGAGGGACTATGTCTCTCASCTGGCCTGGGAACGCCTTGGGATTCGCCTAGATGAGCTGACCCAAGTGGCTGGGGAGAGGGAAGTTTGGGTCTCTCTGCTTAGGCTGCTGCCACAGGGACGGACAGAAGGATAAAAGCTTAGGCTGTGCCACAGTGTTCTTTTTTTATTTGTTATTTTTATTGATGGCCTCCCTTCTCTCCTTATAGCCATCCTCTCCACACCAATATTATGAATTTTCTTTTTTTTAAATAGGAGAAAAAGAAGAAGAAAGAAAAAAAGTGAAATGTAATGAGAGAGTGAAAAAGAGATTAGAAGATATGTAAAATATATGTTGAGAAAACATAAGACAGCACACCGGACTTCTTGGCTCCACACCTACAAAACAAAGATAGCAAAACCACAGCAACAAAAATGCATATCTATATAATTATAATGACTTTAGCCTTGCTGAAAACCATACCCATATACGCTGTAGGGACTATGTTTCTCAGCTGGCCTGGGAACGCCTTGGGATTCGCCTAGATGAGCTGACCCAAGTGGCTGGGGAGAGGGAAGTTTGGGTCTCTCTGCTTAGGCTGCTGCCACAGGGACGGACAGAAGGATAAAAGCTTAGGCTGTGCCACAGTGTTGTACAGCGTATAACCCCGCCCCCTACAAATTTTTCTTCTAAAGTCAATAATGAGAATAATATTAAATTAAAATGTAATTGTTGAAAAACAATTGCAATTAACTGACTAGACTACTTGTTTCAGCCATGACCATCTTCATTCTACATGCATCTGTTACAGTATGTCCTGCTGGGATGGGATGTGATATGTGTTATACAGGTGTGATTGACTGAGTTCAATTCAATAGGGTGTCAGAATGTACATATTTATACTTCTCATCCAACCACAATCAAATTCACTCAAATTCTACAAAGTATTTGTACTTAGTTACTTGACTCCTTTGAGTTTGGACACTCTGCAAAACTAAGTACGTAAGTTCGTACTGATTTAGAACTTTACCATTACACAATGATTCAAAAAACAAAACATTTTTTATTTAGAAAAAAAGTGTCTCTCTTTCCTTATGAGCCTCCAGCCCCACTGACTGCATGATATACTGTATACTGTTAAAATATTTTACGATAAATAATAGCTCAGTTATGGTCCTACTGGTTTTAATAATTCTTTACATAAACCTGTTTTCAAAGGATCTGAATCATTACATGTAATACCACCATGTAAAACTGAACTGAAAATCACTATTAACCACACCATGAGCTGTATGACTCGCATTGTTCTCCAGTAAAGGCAAGCAAACCGGCGCTTATTCAGGTCAGACAGGATTAATGATCYGTGACTGTAAGTTTATGACTCCTTTCAGAACCAAGCAGGTTGCAGGACTTTTGAACTGCATGAATGTAACGGCTCATATTGGCGCAGAAAGTGGCAGGTCGTTAACAGTGAGGCCATGCTAATGGAGCCCATTCTATAGATTACTGTAAGTGCCTCATATTTATGCCATTGTAAAACTAGAGTGGTTTTGCTTATTCGCTGTTTTCTAAGAGCTATTCCAGTCATTAATCAGTAGTTCATTGAGTTTTAAAACAGCTTGAAGTACTCCAAATTGATTTGTTTTGACTGAGGTGGAATGAGGTTTTCTACACATTTTTGATCCAAAGTATTTTAATAAGAATTTTAATATAAATGAAGTGTTCCATATGGATTAAAAGCACTACGTGAGATTTGTTATCTCAGCATTTTTGCAGGAAATCTTCTTTTAGGTTAAGTACGATGTCAGTATTGACCACACATTACTTAAAAAACAGCATAGTTTGCTATCTTGATAAAGACCTATTTTAAAAAATATAGAAATTTTATTTTTGAAAAAGCCCTCTCATTTGTGCGTAGTGAGACGATGTGTTTGTGGGGTAGTCCCATTTGATTTTTCAGCTTCTCAGGCTTTCCATCTCCTCCATTCAGAGTGCTCTTGGTTACCATTTGATCTTCATTCCCATCTGTTGCTCCTGCTGAAAGGATAAGAAAATTCATCACCACACATTGGGCCTCATGCAAGAACATGTTCGTATTTTTATCCTAAATTTCTCTTACTTTTGTTCGTACAAAGGGTTCGTACGAACATGTCACGTCAGATTCAACAAACTCTTCTATCTTCAGGAAACGTGTGTAAATGAGCTGCGTAAATTCCACCTGTTCCAAACTATGGAGGTAAATTTGTGTTTTTATTATTCAATCAAACAAAAAGC